GTCAGGACCAAGAGCAGAGAGCCAGCTTCTCTGCTTTCAGTGCTTTTTTTCCACTATTAGGCCCAGGCAGGGAGGAGGGGGAAGATTACGGAGTGCAAATACAAAAGTGACAAGAACTGGCTCAGCAGGAAGTCAGGGGATTACACTGAGACAAAAAATAGGAGGAAGAAGGAAAAAAACACTGGGGCAAGAAGGTGAGTTTCTAAAGCCAGCATTTAAACCTGTGTAATGCCAGTATTAAGATTGACTGGGCTTAACTGGGCTCCCTTGTGTGCCTGGGCGCATAATACAGTCTAATTAGGAAAGCAGGGCTGGAAGGGACCTGGTGAGGTTGCCTAGTCCAGCCTCCTGCTCAAGACAGGATTGTCCCTGACTAAACCGTGTCAGGCCCGTGTCTGTCCAGCCTGCTCTTGAAAATGTACAAGGATGGAGATGTCAGTTTGTCCAGAGACCCTGTTCTGATGCTCAACCACCCTCGTCATCAGACAGTCCCTCCTCATCTCCAGCCTACGTTTCCCCTGCTGCCGCTTGAGGCCACTGCTCCTAACCGTGTCCCCGACCGCCAAAAAAAATCCCAGCTCCATCCTCTCTGTAATCGCTCTCCAGATATTCGAAGACTGTTATCAGATCCCCCCTCGGTCTTCTCTTCTCCAAACTAAACAATCCTAGTTTTTTCAGCCTTTTCTCATAAATCTTGGCTCCCAGGCCCCTAACAATTTTTGTTGCTCTGCACTAGACCCAAAACTATGCACTGTACTCCAGAGGAGGCCTCGACAGCGATAAAAAGAGCAGAAGAATCACATTCTTTGATTTGCAAGTGACACTCCTGTTACTACAACCCAAGATGCTCTTGGTTTGGGGGGTTTTGTGCTCATGCTGGCTCATGTACTGCTTATTGTCCACAGGACCGCTGTGTCCTTCTCCGCAGAGCAGCAGCCCTGCCCGTTGTTCCCCTGCAGTTATTCCATTCCAAGCGCAGGGCTTTGCCCTTGTCCTTGTTGAATCTCATCTGGTTGATTGTGGACCATTTCTCCAGTTTACAGAGGTCATTCCACATCCTAGCCTTACTCTCCAGAGTATCTGCAGCTCTGCCCAACTTGGAGTATCTGCAACTCCACCCAGTTATATGATCACACATGGCTTGCTGCTTTTCCCAGAATATTTTCCTATCCTTTAACTCTTCTCATGGCTCGTCTTTGACCCCTCTCCAGTTCTTAACCTCTTCTTAAAGGGTAGGTACTAGACCAGTGGTTTTCACCATTTTTCATCTGCAAATCCCTAAAAAAAATAATTTAATGAGGTATGGACCCCTTTGAATGATACATGTGGGTATTCACGTACTTTTGATCATAGTCATCTTTTACACACCCCTTAAACCAGGGGTGGGCAAAATATGGTCTGTGGGCTAGATCCGACCTGCCTACTGATTGGGTCCTGCCCATGGGTGGCACCTGCCAATTGATGGGTTGCAGCCCAGGGCTGCCCTGCAGTGCTCCGCATAGGGTCGAGCCCTGCGCAGGGTAGTCCACGCCATGCACCAGCCCGCGCCCCACCAGCCCTGTCCTGAGCCAGCATGCACAGCATCCCGGTGGGGCTATTCCCAATGCGACTGCAGCCACGCGGGTGCTGCTTAGCTCCCCTCACCCCCAGCGGCAGCTCCTCCTCCTGCACCACATCAGGTGAGGAGGAGGTGGCTTCTTCCAGAGTGCGGGGAACCAAGCAGCACCCGGGTGGCTGCAGCTGCACCAGGAGCAGCCCTTGGGGAGGCTATGCACCGGGCAAGGTTTGGCCCCACGCAGAGCGCTCTGGGGGCAGTTGCAGACTGCACTGCCCAGGCGAGCTCTGCTTCATGGGCCCCCTGCTGCCTCCTCCCTTCCTTCCCCCCCGACCTAGCACCCAGGCAGCCCCACACATCCCACACCTCCTATAGTCCTCCCACAGGGTAGGGGCATGCAGGGAATGGATCGTGGCTCTTCCCAGGGCCCCAGCCCCATGCTGTCACTGCTCCGTGATCCCGGCCTCGCCTGCCTGTCCTGCTCCTGAACACCGATCCTCACCTGCCTGCAGGCCCCCGTCCCACGTGGGGAGTTTGGGTGAGTTGTTGCAGCAGAGGGGTCCTGGCCCTCCACAACTCATCCAAACTCCCTATGTGGCCCCAAATAATTGCCCGCCCCTGCCTTAGAACACAGTCCATGGACCCCCACGGGTCCACAGACCACAAGTTGAAAAACTGTGCTAAAAAATGACACCGTATGGCTAAATCACTCTCCCTTTTTGGCTGGGTAGTCCTACTTTTTTAAACGTGTCAGGTTTTACCCACTTCTGTTGCTTTGTGGCCCGTCGTGCGCATGGTCAGCTGACTCTGCCATTTCCCCCTACATCTCTTTCACAGCCAATCCCTTGAACCGTAGCGGCTTGTTAAATCTTCCTAAATAACTGGGGGGCCTCGTTAGCCAGTGACATAAATAAACTCTTAAGAGACAAAGCTCTGGGTTTCCAATAAATAGTTTTACTGTGGTTAGGTGTGTTTGATTGCTGCTTAGACTGCATGTGACGGGACAAGGACTTTGCCTCTCTGCAACTGGAAAACGTCTTGGGTGTGAGCACAATTCAGCTACCCAACTAGATCGTCCTTGGAAGAAGGACCGGGTGACAGGGGAAGACAGGAAAACATGTCAAAGAAGAATTATCTCAAAAAGGAAGAATCCTCTCTTTGCCAAGCCCTCTGCAAGGCCCTCTGCAACAAGTCTTTAATGTTGCAAGAACTGGTTTTTGCAGGGTCAGACCATAGGTCTACCTATCCCAGTGGCCTGATAGAGAGTGGGTGCTGAGGGGCAGGGTTAGCAGGGTCTGGCTGGAGTTTCCCACCATGTGCTGCTTTCCCACTGCAGCTTCCAGCATTCAGAGATTGAGGAAGGTCTGGTGTACAGCCTTGCCCCCTTGCCTATGATGCTCAATACCTACTGATGCATCTTTCCTCCAGGAATTTGTCCAACCCCCCTTTGAATTGGCTCAAACTACCTGGCTCCACAATATCCCATGGCAATGACTTAGATGTGTTTTGATTGTGTTTTAATGACCTGGAAGCCTTGTGTCCCTCCGCCTCGGGGCATGGTGGAGGCGACGTTGTCAGGAACAGAGTTTAGAGAAAACAGACCTTGAAACTGCAGCATTACATCAGCTCCTACCCACAGATTTGATCATCAGGCACTTGACTTGGAGCATTTTGACTCAGCCTGTTATGGAGACACAGCCATCTTTTTGGAACGGGCTACAGTTCAAGTGCTTGCAAACATTCATGGGAGAGCGGGGCGGGGAGACTGTTTGCCAAATTTTAAGTAAAAAACCCCAAATCATAGGTCATGATTCAGCTAGATGCTCAGGCATGTCTGTGTTGAAGGATATAAGTAGTGTCTCTGAGAGCAATGGGGCCATGTGATGAAGTATCTTTCTGAATCGGGACTGAAGCTTCTGGAGGGTAGAAACTTATGCTGGAGAGGTCAGGTGTTATACTGGGTCTTGTGCTGAGCTGCAGTAAAGGGCAAAGCTCCTAATTTCTCTAGGTTTTGTTTGGGCCACACTGGGAAATCGCCTCATGCTTTGTAGGTTGAGTTGAAGCTGACCTCAACCCCTCATAACTTCTTGGTTTTGCAAATCAGGCTTTGGACACATTTTATCTTGGAGCGCTTGATAAAAGTAAGGAGGCATCTTCAAAAGGAAGTGATATGACTGTGGTCACAGAGCAGGTCAGTGGCAGAGATGGGAACAGAAATCAGCTTTCTTAGCATCTAAGCACAGGTCTCCTGGCTCCAACCATAGGATAAAACTTAACCAGCGCATTGGTTGCCTTTCTTTCTTTCTCTTGGTTTACCACTTAGTACCATCCAATAAGAATCCAGAGCTACAACGACAACTGTTTTTCTCCTATAAAACAGGGCACCTTCATTTTCAAAGGTCTTATGGGAGGGGCTATGGGAAGAGTTTTAACAAGTGTTTCCTGTATATTAGCCCCTGGGGCTCTTCCTCAGTTGTTGTGAGTGTGATTTTAGCTGTTATGTATAAAATTTAGATTATGCAGTCTTTACATTGAATAGAAGATTTTAGAAGCTGCAGAAGCGTTTTCAAACCTAGACAAGGGCAAGAAATATTTGAGGAATACTCTTGTGTTATTAGCAAGGCTTCAGGAGTTCTCAGAGCCATCGTGGATAGCATGGATTCACCACTGGATTGCTACGCTGCAGCCTGGCCAGTCATTCCCCAGTCTGTAGAAGTGCATGCAATTACTTCTTTCCACATACAGGACTTAGCGCCTGTCCTTGCTGAATCTCATCTGATTGACTGGGGACCATTTTTTTTTTGCACTCAATCCCATTGTCCAAATGATTAATGCAGATAATAAACAATACCAAACCCATGACATAACCCTGAGGAACCTCACTTGATACCTCCTACCAGCAAGACATTGAGCCATTGATGGGTACTTGTTGAGCATGATGATCCAACATATTCTGTAGCCTCATTACAACAGTTTTGTCTTGTCTCTGTTTCCTTAGTTTGTGAAGGAGGATGCTGTGGGAGATGGTTTCAAATACCTTGACTTTAGCGAGGCTTACCACATCCACTTCTCCCTTCCCCCAACATCTGCTTCCACAGTCTGTCAGCTGGTTATAGAAGGCGATCAGGTTGGTCAGCCATGACTTAGAATCACAGAAAATTCAGGTTGGAAAGGACCTCAGGAGGTCACATCTAGTCCAACCCCCTGCTCCAAGCAGGACCAGTCCCAACCACATCACTCCAGCCCAGGCTTTGTCTAGCCGGGTCTTCAAAACGGCCAAGGATGGAGATCCCACCACCTCTGTGGGTAACCTATCCCAGTGCTTCACCACCCTCCTAGTGGGAAAATTCTTCCTAATATCCTACCTCAACTTCCCTTGCTGCAACTAGAGCCCATTGCTCCTTGTTCTGTCATCTGCCCCCACAGAGACCAGTCCAGCTCCACCCTCTTTGCAGCCCCCCTGCAGGGAGGTGAAGGCTGCTATTAAGTCTCCTCTCAGTCTCCTTTTCTCTGCACTAAACAAGACCAGTTTCTCCAGTCTTTCCTTACAAGTCATGCCCTGCAGCCCCCAAACCATTTTTGTCACCCTCTGCCTGACACTCCTGTGGCCATGAAGCCTGCCAGCTGTCGAGGAGATTGGTGCAGGGGGGTTCTGGGGCCGTGCACCCCAAGCTGCTGACAGACAAAACTTGTGCCATGGGTGCTTGTGCGACTGACTGTCTCTGTCTTACGGCAGTTGTATTGATTATTTCCTCTCCTTAGTCTGTGGTTTTCTAGGTATTAATTCTTGTTTGTTAAGTCGTTATGTAGTAGCTAGGTCCTGTGTATTGAGCTGCCCCCCCCCCC